CTGATGTCGCTCGGGCTCGTCATGGTGCTGCAGCTCCGCGTCGCCGCGAAGCTCCGCACCCTCCTCTTGAAGGCAGACCTCCTCCACGGGTACGACCTCGCGTGGCGCGACGCCGTGCGGGTGCAGCTGCGCGCCGCTGGCCTTCGTGGCCGGGCCTGGCTGGCCGCGGACGCCTCTATGGGGGAGGAGCAGGTCCGTGCGCGTCTCGGCCCCCTCGTCTCGCCGGCCATCACCCTGCTGGACTACAGCGTGGGCCAGGGGAGGCGCGCGGGCACCCACATATTCGGGGCCCTGGTGCGGGGCCTGCTGGACGCTTGCGCGGCGACCGCCCGCCCCGTCTGCCTCGGCGCGGCCGGGGCCCCCGCCGCGGCCTTCTCGTTTCTCCAGCTCCAGTTCGTGGACGACTGCTTCGTCGCGCAGGAGGACGAGCGGGGCATGGCCGCGGCGTGCGGCGGCATGAGCTTGTTCTGCGAGCAGCACCGCCATCGTTTCCAGGGCGGCGAAGCGAAAGGGCCCGCGGTCATGGCAGTCGGCGGCGCGCCGCCGGAAGCCGGCGCGTGCGGCGACATCCTGGGCATCCCGGTCAGGGCCGCTTCGGTGCTTGATTGCCTGGGGGCCTCGATCGACGAGGCCCTCTCCGTCCAGCCCCTCCTCGACCGGGCGTGCGCCATGGTCCGCGATGGCGCCAAGAAGCTCTTCACCGCCATGTCCGACCTGGGTTTCGGCTCGCCTATGCAGGTGGCTCAGCTGCCCGTGCGAGTGGAGGCGGCCGCCCTGTTCGGCACCGAGCTCCTCGCCAGCTGCGCGGCGAGGTGGTCGGGCGTGCTCTCCCTCCTCAATTGCGCCTATTACGAGGTGGCGAAGCTGCTCTGGCGGGGCCGGCGGCGCGGTTGTCCCTGGGCAAGGGGGGCCAGGTGCGCGCCTTCCTCGAGACCAGGCTGCTCACGCGGGTGGGGTCTCGGCTGACCCGGCGGGTCGTGCTGGCCCGGGCACGCTTGCTGTTGCTCCCCCCGACCTCGCCCGTGGCGCCGGCCGTCGGGGCGGCGCTGGTGGCGGCGGGCGGCGACACATGGCTGGGCCACGCGGAACGCATCGCACGGGACCTGGGCGTCAACACCTGGCCGACTGCCCCGCCAGGGGCAACGGGCCCAGCCCGCCGGGCGGCCGTGCGCGCATGGGCTCGCAGGGCGGTCGACCCCCTGCTCGAGGCCGCGGAAGCCAAGTGGTTCACGGAGCAGGTGGCGCGTCTGGGCGACGACGGGCTCGTCTCCCTCGCAGACTTGCTGCCCCTCCGGCAGCCCTGGCCGCAGGCACTCCGCTGGGCGCCGTGGGGCCGCACCATGTGGCGCTTCCACCGCGCCTGGTCCGTGGCGGGGATTTCGAACGACGTCCCCACTTGGACGTGGGGGCTGCCGCCGCCCCCGCCCGAGGCGCCCTGCCCGCTGTGCGGGGGCGTCGAATCGGGCCTCCAGCACCTCCTGGCCACCTGCTCGGCCGTCGCTGGGCCGCGCCAGGAAGTGTGCTCCTGCCAGCCGCCCATGCCATCAGGGCTGCCGGCGTGGGCCCTCGGCGACGCGGCGGACGCGCGCGAGCTGGAGGCGAAGGTGAGGTTCGTCGGCGCCATCGCGGCTGCAGTGGTGCACGCCTTGAGGGACGAGCCAATGTAAAAAAGACCCCCCCCCGCCGGACCCTCTCGGACGCCGCCCGGCGGCGGGTCGGAGGCCATTTTGGCGCGAATGTCCCGAGCGTTTTTTTGCCGAGTTCTTGGTAACTCGGGAAAAAATCGCCCGTGACTTCCTGCGCCGGAAGGGCGCCTGGCCGCCTCCCCGGCGGGCGTCGGGGCGGGTTCGGGGATCGCGTCGGGGGTGCCCGGGCCGTCGTCAGGGGGGCTTCGTGGGAGCCGCGGGGGGCGTGGTGGTCTTGCGCGTTTACCGGCCAACGCCTGCGCGGCGCGGCCCGGCGGGGGCGGGCCCACCCTCCTCCTCTCGCCCCTGCCCCGCCGTGCTCCTCCCCCTCCCGCCCCGCCCTGCCCCCCCTGGCCCCCACCTCCGCGCCACGTCCTCTTCGCCCCCCCCCCCCCCCCCCCCCACTTCTCCTCGCCTCTTCCTCGGGAGGGAGGACGGACCGCACCGCGGTGACGTCCGGCACCCCTGGCGCGGCAGCCGTTGGCCCAGCGGGGCGGTTGCTTGACCGCGCCGGGGTGCTACCGCGGCCCGAGGGCCGGAGTCCAACTGCGAGTCCTAAGCGAGTCCTCCTCCTCCTCCTCCTCCTCCTCGTCCCCTCCTCCTCCTCATCCTCCTCCTCCTACTCCTCCTCCTCCCCCTCCTCCTCCCCCTCCCCCTCCTCCCCCGCCTCCCCTCCTCCTCCTCCTCCTCCTCCTCCTCCTCCCTCCGCTACCTCCTCCTCCTCCTCCTCCTCCTTCCTCCCTCTCTCCTCCTCCTCTCCTCCTCCTCCTCCTCCTCCTCCTCCTCCTCCTCCCCCCCCTCCTCCCCCTCCTCGGGACTCCCGAGACGCAGCGCAGAGAGCTCTGGCTGCAGATCGGCCGAGGTCTCCCGAGAGCCCCGTCGCCGCGGCTCGTCGGCCACGGGCCGAGGCAGCGGCGCCGAGGGCGGGCGCGCTCCCCCAGCTGCTGCCTCGGGCCGGCCGCCGCAGCGCAGGGAACTGTGGCTGCAGATTCAGAGGAGGAAAAGGTACCCATACCTCTGCCCTCCCCTCGTTTTCCCCTTTTTGGGCCTCCTGGGCCTCCGTCGTCGTCGCCGCTGGATTCGCTTCGAAATCCTGGTCAGTAGCGGGGAGTAGCGGTATCGGTACCTTTTGGTCTCCCCACAGATAGGCCGAGGGGCGGGGCCGGGTACGAGTGAGCAGATCTCTGCACAGTTCCATCTGACGCTGGAGTGCCCCTGTGAATACACCCGTGCCTGCGATCTGCAGCCGACGGGGCCGGCTTCTGACTGACACGGTTCCTGACGGACAAATGGACCGAGACCGTGATGAGCGCGGGTCGGAACGGTTCTTGATTGACACGGTTCCTTCCTTCCTGACTGACGCGGTTCTTGTGCGTGTGCTTCTTCCGTCTGGGGTCGTTTGCGCTGGCGGATGAAGCTAACAAAGCGGGGGTTCCGTTGCAGCGAATAGGCCACCATGCAAGAGGGGGGAAAGCGGAAAAACGGGCGGCTGCGGGGAAGGAGGAAAACAGGGGGGAGGGCCGCTCAGGGGGACGAATCACGCCAGCGGTTCTGAACGTACATGCACCAGGCACGCTTCCTGACCGACAGCCGGGGCGAGGCCTCCTGACAGCCCCGTCGCCGTGACTCGTCCGTGACGGCTGGGGGTATATCGGCGCCGAGCGCGGGCGCGCGCCCACTGCGCCTGGCCCCGCTTGCCGCTCCCCCTCCGCTGCCGCCTCTCATCGCCCTCTGGGCCCCTCGGCGCGACTGCTCGCCGCCCGAGCTCGCCAGCGGCGGCGCCGCCGAGCGAGGGCCTGCCGAGGCGCCACGTGTGCCCGCGGCGCCTCCGTGGCCGTTCCGGCCTGGAGGCAGCCGAGGTCCAAGAAAGGCTTCGGTCTCTCGGCCCCTCTGGCACGGCTGCACGCCGCCCGAGCCCCCGCAGCTCGCCCGCCGCGGCCAGCGGCGGCGCCGCCGAGCGAGGGCCCGCCGAGGCCGAGGCGTGCGCGCGCGGCGCCGCCGCTGGCTCGAGCGCTTGGGCTCGGCCCAGCTCGGGGCCCCGAGGGGCACTGCGCCCCCGCGGCCGTTTTGGCCCCTCCAGCGGCCGAGGCCTCGAGCGAGGCGCGTCCCGGGCTCGGGTCCGAGGTGCCCGGCGCCGCGTCTCCGGGCCGACGCAGCGTTGGGGTCCTCGACGGCGCAGGCAGGGCGGCCGGCAGTCTTGCGCGCTCCTGCCTCCCTCCTCTTCTCCCCCCCCCTCCTCCTCCGTCTCCCCCCCCTCTCTACTCCTCCTGTTCCTCGCACCCCACCCCCTCCCTCCTTTCCTCCCTCCTACTTCTCCCCCCTCCCCTCCTTCTGCCCCTCGCCCCGCCCCCTGTCCCCTTTGCCGCGCGCGCGCGCCTGGGCGAGGCCAGATCCGGGCCGAGGGGAGGGGCGAGAAGGACGCCACGAGGAGCGTGATAGAGGTCTCCGAGATCGCCGGGGGAGGAACGATGGAGGCGCTCTCCAGCTGCTGCTGCTGCTGCTGCTGCTGCTGCTGCTGCTGCTGCCCGTCGAGGAGGGTTCGGGATGTGAGAGGGGGAGAGAGAGAGGAGGAGGACAAGGATCTCATGAGCGGCCCCCGTCCGCTCCTCTCCTCCTCCAAGGAGGGAGAGGAGGAGGAAAAGGATCCCATGAGCGGCCCCTGGCCGCTCCTCTCCTCTGCCGCCTCTGTGTGGCCCGCCCCTCCCTCCCCTCCCTCCCTCCCTCGGAAAAGGGCGCGCCTCGGCCCCGGGCGCCGCGCCGCGCGCGGCGCGGGCTTCGCGGGCGGGGGCGCAGGGAACGGCCGACGCCTATGCGAGAGAGATAGGGAGAGGGAGTGAGAGAGAGGAGAAAAACGAGGTGGTGGGTGGGGGGGGATGGGGAAGGGGGGGAGGAGAAGGTGCCCGAGGAGGAGCAGGATGAGAAGGAACTCCTCCTCGCCTTCTTTTCTCGTCCCTTCCCCCTCTTCCCTTTCTCCCACTGCCGCCGCCCTCCTTCTCGTCCTCCTCATCCCCCTTTGTCTTCCCCGCTTCTTCTCCTCCT